AAATAACTACTGTAAGCGTTTAATGTTTCCCGTTTTATATACATCGTGGTATATTATTTACTCGTGAATTATTAATGTCACTACCCGATTTGATGAAGTATGCTTAGAAACTGAAACTTATTTAATGTAAATTGATTATTGCATCGACGAGGTCACCTCTTAATCCATAATTATAACAGCTTCCAATGATATTATTTAAATTTAAATAAATGAATACCAAATAACGACAGAATCTAATCGAAATTTCAAATTTTTATTTAGTCCAACGTTGCTTTTTACGAATTTAGATCCACTGAGAATGTATAAAAACTCACTGGACATTTTTGGTGGAGTTTTGTTCTCTGAGCTGGATGGTTCGGTCGTGGAGCTTTGATCGTTCTTCTGAATGACATCATCAGTACAAGCTCTACGACCAAACCGTCCAGCTCAGAGGACAAAACTCCACCAAAGTCATCCACCTGAGCTACAAATCTTCTCCATCACTGGACATTTATTCAATTTTAGTTTTAGACATTTGAACAGTCAGCTAGTTTGAAACCCCTTGTTATGTTGAAATCCTGGTCAAACAATTTAATATAATTTCAATAAATTATCTCAACGCTTTCATTTTTCACATTATTTTCGTTGATTTTTTTCTTTTCATTACACTCATCAGATTTGACCTTGAAAATCAATTCAGTTTCCTTTTAAATGCTTCAGTGTAAACATAAAATTTTCATCCTACTTAGAAAATTAAAATGTGTACATATCTCCTTGTATGTGTATACATGTTCTGTAGCGTGTTTGAGCATTTTCAAACTCGTATTGCTATCATACTACATACATTCTCACCTGTCTGCATATTTATCCCCTACTTTGGCACTTGTACCATCTCTGTAATGTCAGCTATGAATATAATAAAAACCTGAGAATAACTAACTTATTTTCTGTAATTATTCATAGTCAAATTGTAAATTACACTTGCTAACATTCACGTGAGTAACTAAGATAAATGAGAAGTTATAAAAATTGTTGTGTTTGTATTTTTGTGTGTCTATATGACGATAGTACAAAAAGTAATAATGATTTGTTATATACCTACTCAAAAAGCGTACAATAAATAAAAAGAAATTGTTGCTGATTGTTTAAAATAGTATAAATGTAACTTGTTTTCATTATAAGTGAATGGCATTTAAGTATCATTCAAAAAATAGAAGACAAAACTATTAATATCCTTTTCAAATATCTTGTAGCTGTGTAGAACGATGAATCGAGCATATGATGTTTTCTCTTTTAATAAACTTTCAGTATTCTTTTGATAAGTAAACTGGAACTCAATGATTTATATTCAGTTAAGGATTTTTAAACATTCGAAAATTGTTATAGCTGTCATGATAAGTTGATGTAGGTCAATACTTTGATGCATTGAAAGAGCATGGTTCCTGAAGCCAGTCAAATTTTCTCCATGAGCTATTAAAATCAAGTGAGATTAAATCAACTAGTCTTTTTCAGAAATGCATATAATGTCATCTCATTACAAGAAAAAATTCTTAAACTATATGCTTAACTCTGAATATTCCACCTATCCATGCCTCGTTATATAAAAGCTAATGTGTTAGTCTAACTTATGAAGAATGGGATTAATGTGAAGCATCATGAAAATAACAAACTAAAAAGTCGTTCAGTTCTTGAAATACTATTCGCCTGAAATTTACTCTTGAATAAACTGTTTCAATGAAAATGTAAAATTTATTTTTTCAATAATCTCAGCTATTGAAATTTGAATAATTTCAACGTTCCATTTAGTACTCTAGCTAGCTTGAGTTTCTTCAGAGGAATGATGAAAATCAAAATTGTCAAAGAATATGTATATATGTATATAAGGTTTAGAGATAGATATTCTCTTAAAGTTTATCCAGTTTTGTTCAGACACTGACGTTTTTTCATGTAGTAAGAACAATATAAGTCATAAGATGTTAATAATGTTTACTTACAATAGGGAAAAAACGATTATATAGGTTATTAAATAATTCAATGAATAAATGATAATGTCATGGACATATAAATTGTTTTTGTTCATTAATAATTTGAAATTACATTTTTAAAATCTAGATTACTTATGAATATGTAGAATGAGAATAGTTATATACAGTTAGTTGTGACATATTAATCTTTGAAAATAATTGGAGATTGGCTAAAATCATAAAAGTTTACCGAATAATTTAGCCTCTGATTATTGTTGAAATTTGACTTATGGTGGTATAAATGGTGTGAATAAAAAGGCTCAAATATCCCATAGAAACATTGGAGGATATCAAGAGGATTATTAATAAGCACGATATGAAAGTGTTTCCTCGCTAGATGAATATTAATAAATGTTAAGAATAAGCTACCGAAAAAATGAATAATAACTATTGATTAACAGAAGTTGCGACCAGTGAAGTTTGATCCGTATCGGGCGAGAGATAGTTATCCACCATAGGCAATAAATAAAGATTGCGCAATATAGTGGATTGATTGGGGTTAGAAATTAACACTATTAGATGCATGATCAGTGGTCATAAATTTTAGCGTTCGTGCACGAGACCAAATGTACTGGGTTGCGATCCTGGGTGCAAGGTTATAGATACGCACTAATGAGGAATCCCATACCAGGACGAAAAGACCATCCAGTCCTTCCAGGTTTTTAGTGTTGGTCTAGCTAACATGAGTTCATGGTTTAATCTATAAAAATAAATATTTGGACGTTGACAATCACGTATTTTTCATCAGTTAAGCTTTCATTATCTGGTTGGTTAATAAACTGCTTAGTATATCAGGGCATTCCCAAATCCATAGTCCTTAACTTTACTGCGTTTGTATTTTCGACATTTATTCGGATGGTATAATAATACATCCAAAAGCAATAAAACATACTTGATGAAAATACTGGTTCAAACACTATTGGCATCACTTTGTAACATATTGTACTATTGAACATAATCGAACAAAATCTATATACTTATATATTATTTATACTGCTGTTTAATTACATCAGTCTGGTTTGATGGAAGAATAATTTAAAATAAAAGTTAAATGAATTTAGTAGTCGATTAATGTGAATCACATAATAAAAGTAACTGTTTTAAGAAAAAAGTTTTATTTTCCTTCCTGGTAATAATTTTATCATGCGAGACCACTTAACTCATTCCTTTATCCCTAAAAATACAATTCAATCGTAATTTCATGACTTAATGCAAATAGAGTTATATCATTTAAGAATGTTGTTCATTCTCCTCTTTACTTATCCCCGTTAACGTTTGTTTCTTTTTTGTTGTTATTATTATTTAAACTTACTCTATAAATAGCTATCTTTCTAAAAGGACCTTATTGGATACATCTATTTAAAAACTGTTAACTAATGCAAACAATAACCATTCATGGTTAACTGTACATAGCATTATTCTAAGAACGTATTGTATAATTGCTTACTATGTTATAATTTTTTTTCAAATTCAACCCCATACTACTGTTCAATGATTTTCTCTTAGTTGAAAGAAATTTCCAAACAAAATAGATTTTAGTTACTTCAAATTAAGAAAATGGCGCTTACTTACATCTAAAAACAAATTTGGCATTTAAATTATACCATTCAATTTGAATAATTTGTTTTAGTTGCTTTGGTTACTAAATTTGAGTCCTAGATACTTCATCATTTGAATTATGAAGTAATATTTAAGTTTTTTAAAAGTGAAGATAATCTTGTCACGTGATTCTTTTAAGATTATGTAATTATTTTCTTAAGAAGTCGAATTTGTTTTTTCCAATTTATTCATAAAATCGTGAGAATACGGTGTTGATGACCTATAACCGGTATAATTTTGGAAAACCGCCCAACTGGTAAAGATTTTTAAAAAATTGTAGATACTAATTTCAGTGGTAAAGGTACCATAAAATTGTCAAGTTTATTAAGTAGCCGTAATTTTTGATAGCATTAAAATAATAGGTTAAAAGATTGATACTGGTTATTTTAAACGTTTTTGAAAGTTAAATCTCTCATTATCATCAACAGACAAGTTAAAATATTCTAAATATATAATGTTGTGCTAGTAAAAGCGTGCTAATTTATAAAAGAATCCTAGAATAACTATGACTAAACGTAATATCTAGACTTTTGTTAAGCATGCATTGATCACCGAATTCTACCAATAAATAAAATCGTCTGTTTTTTTATGTACTAAGTTTTATTTATATTAGAGCTATGAATGATTGCTGGTGGGTGGCCTATGCTCCTCCACGAAGGGTAACAGGCGTAAGTAAGGATGATTGACTGGGTTTTTTCATATACTAATCATGTCTGAAATTGAGTCCAAGTCTAAAAGCGATCATATTCAAAATAGCAGTATGCATGGAGCATACTCAACTCCGAAATCCCATTTCTAATCATATTTACTTAATTTACCAAAGCGTTATGGTGCATTGTGTATGTTGTTATTTTAGTGTCTCCTCTGCAAATAATCAATGGATACTGAAAAGGAATAGCTTGTGAAAATGTGACCATTGGACCGTAATATCAGATTTTAAGATAGGTGGCTGTTGGGAAATCATAATCAATAATATGGCCTAGAATATCCAGTGTAATGTAGTCCTAATAATGGTTAGCTCTTTTCTATCTGCAGCTGACCCTGCGAATACCACAATACTGTGCAATGGTAATCCACTATACGTATAATAATTTAAAATTCAAGAATACAGAGTTTTCGAAACTTTGGTTTTAAAATTCAACTAAAACAAAGTTTCGTATGTCGATGTTGCAAAATATGTTACTAAATTACGAACAGGATTAAAACAGAATTTGTGAGTTCCTTCAATAATAGACAACAGTGTAGTAATACTTCAAATGATAAAAAGAAATAAAGTGGATTATAGCTGACTGATTTCAAAAATAAACTTTATTAATCAAAATCCTTTCACTTATGTTGTCGTGATTAGTGATTTTCTGTTTCTGTTATGATTATAATTAATATTATTACCATTTACAGTTAAACAAACAGAAGGAATTAAAAAAGTAAAAAGACGAACTCGTAAACGAATAACATTCACAAATGAATCCTCTACAACTGCAAGTGGAAAGCAAGAGAAACCTGAAAGTAAAAAAAGGAAGAAGAAACAAAAACCTGATTATTCAGAAACAACCAAACTAGTCAAAGCTAGCAGTGTTCAACAGACTACAGAATACGTTGTAAGTTTACTCTCTATCACTCTGTCTTATAAAGAGATAGGAGAATTTTCAGAAATAGAATTGAGTTACGTATATCATTCTTAAAGAGCAAGTATTTGTCAATAGATATTTCATTTATCGTTCACAAAACTGACTTCTTAGGGCATAAATCAGTATTATGCGAGACATGGTAGTTAAAATTGTTCTAGTCTAACTGTAATTCATATTATATAGTGTTTCGACGTCCAACCTATCGGTTGTGCCTAAAAGCTTTATCGCTTTCTAAAGATTTTCTATTTTTACAAACTCTTCAAAAAATACTTCAGCCCACAACAAATATTTATTAAATCAATCCACCACAATTTCTAAATCAATTCGATTTGAAAATGACCGTTGACTAGACTCAACTTCTGAATAACAATTTCTAAAGTCTCTATGTAGTTTATAAAAGATGAAAAACCTCCTAATTTATGAAATAAAGATCAGATGTCTCTATCTCAGGTGAAACACCGTAGTTTTCAAACCATTAACACAACCAATCCCTAGTGTATTCTAATCGATCTGCATGCTTTGAATACATAATCATTCACCTTTTATATAAACGTACGTTGTAGGATGTAAATTAAATTTTTCTACATTTCATGGATGACGTTTGTTGTAATGGCCAAACCTGTCAAATGAAATAATGGAACCACTATGGCATGTATAGCAATAATTGGTTTATAGAACCATCACTCGAAGCCAAATTGAATTAACTTCAAAGAACAGAACTATTAACTAACTGTTTGGACAAATAAAGCAATTAAGACTTTACTTATGTAATTCCATTTACTTTATTGAAGAAGGGAAGAACAAAGATTTAAGCTTAAATTTATTTAAATCTTTGTTCTTACTCTCTTTGAAATTAAAACTGTCATTTATATACATAATTATCCGATCAAGTGAGTCCTTAGCCAAGAAATCTAAATGAAGGTCCCAAAACGCTTTCTACCTGTCATATAAATACTGAACTGTGTAAAACAATACACGTAACAATAAACATATTTTTTTGTTATATCCCAATAAGTAGAAAATCTTTATTACTGAAGTTTCGTGACTTAGTGTAAGCAGCTTCTTCGGAGTAAACAAATAACCGAATCGAATTACCTTATTTTTTATTAACTCTCTAATCAATGCTTAATTTATTTAAAATTATCAATTCCAACCTTGGCATTGATAAATACATGTGATACTTGTGAGAGGGAAAAACAGGCTAAAATCAAAAGAAACATACAAAAAAATTAACATCAAATTACTAGAAAGAAATGGTCAACCATTTATTGTTTACGCTGAGATTAATGAAATGAGATACTGAATCCAAATTATTTCTTAATTTTTTATTTATTGAGCCAATTACATCTTATATGAATGCTGTTTTAAATATCAGTTTAGTTCAATTGAAGGCTTCAAATGAACTATAAATTATTTTGTTATGAATACCTATTATTGTATTTAGATAAAATAAATAATTTATGAAATAATTTTGAAGAAAGAGTTTAGTTTATATCCCATGTTAATCTCTAAATATACGTTTAGCAATAGTAGATACCCAGATGTTATGTTATAGAAGAAATAACTTACTTACTAAGGCCTCTTAACTCTCACGGACGAGTACAGACCACCCACCAGCATTCAATGTTATAGAAAAACGTTCAAAAAAATTTATATATGCATGTATATATGAATGTGCAACATAGAAGTCAGTAGAGATAGAATAGTAGTTTTCACCAATAGCCGCCTACATTAATCCGGTATTGAGCAATTTATATAAGTAGATTTTGTCATAATGAGATTGACTGTATAGAAGTTTTCTTCCTTTCCACTAGTCAAATAGTTGTGAACTTAAGTTTAAAAGAATAGGACTTAATTTCTCCCGAGTGAAATAGGTACACGGAATGTTTAGTATAGTCTAACATTTAACTCTCGCAATTATATTCTTTGAGTGCCTGTTCAAACATTTGAGCCATCTGTTTTCCAACTATGCGAATATTGTACCAAACTTTCTTGTGTCAGGTTTTTTTTAACAGAGTAATTATCAATTTTAAACATATTTGTACTTATGCGGTATTATAAAGGAGTTACAAACTATCGTTACCCTAAATACTGAAAATCTCATAGCATATTTTTTAGTTCTAATATATCCTTAAAGAAAACGAGTGACTAACATATTAGAACTTTTGCATTCATTGTCTGATTGAAGAAAACATCTTTGTGGCATAAATTTAGGGAAAATGGTGTGTAACAATCGTTTGTATTAATTTTGATATAATATAAACATTTTCGTGCTTTCAGTAAATAATCGTTTCTCTAGTAAGGGATTTTGTTTGACATTTTTTCATAGGTACAAGAAGGTGATTCATTCAATAGTGTAGCAGCTCGATTCGATCTAACTCCTTCAGAATTATGTCGTATCAATAAACTCTTGTCTCGAACATTATTTGTTGGTCAAGTGATCAAACTTCCTATCAATGAAAAACTAGAAAATATGACCGCTGAATCATCCAGTAAATCTGTTGCATCTAGTGTAAAAAGCGATAGTAAGTGATTGATTAGTATTTTTTTTTAAAAGTCCATATATATATAAATATATATATATATATATATATATATATATATATATATATATATATATATATATATGTGAAATCTGATGAAAAATTACTGTCCAACACATTGATGAGTTCGTTTTAATTAATTCTTTTTGTTTGGCTAACTTGCTTCATCTCATATTATTGATAATTATCATGAACCTGCGTTTTGTTATTTCAATACGTAGGCGACTAATTTTTAGCTGTTTGATCCTCTTCTAAACTGTTTTTTTATATTCATAAATCTTCATTTACAAATGACATTCATTTGTTATATATTTTCCCGGTCTTAATAACTTTATTTGAGATATTTGCTCTACCATGATAATACATAATAACACCCGATTAATTTCATTTGTATGACTAAGTGGACGATTTTAATTTTAAAATAATCCAAGCTACAAGCAGCTGATAAGAACCAAGTGGAATTAAATGAATTTAAGTCATTCTGCTGAAATCTCCAATTTTTAAATCTTCAGATCAATAAAGGGAACTCTAGAATGGTGGTTGGAGGTTGTCCACAGGAAACAATGGACCCGAGTTTCGTGCTACTTGGCACTCGTCAGCAAGATGTACCTGTAGTTTTCAGGGAACTGGTGCTCCATAACGGATTCGATCCCGTGTCACCCCCACTCCACAGTCAGAGACGTTACCACCGAGCTATCCGGGCAGCGACCGATCTCCTGTAATACTGAGATGTAATCACAATCGATTGATCACCACACATTGATCAATCAATTGTAAATGGAACTCTGTATGTATGAAATTAAAAGAATATTTCTTATCAGTACATCAACTTGAAAATATAATTTAACTACAAAACCAGTGATTATTCAGATTCTTAAGATGTACACTGACTTCATGATTTGATTTGAATGATGGATACATGTTAATGATAAAAGTTATCTGTATAATACATAGATCATTTCAAATCAGTATAAGGTTATGGAGATTGTTGAGCTTTGATTAAAATCATCAATCGATATATGTTAGACCACCATTTCAAACCAATAATCAGCATATAATCAAGTAAATTGTTAAAAGGTCTTTGAATACAACTATAATTCATTATTTGTTATACATTTTTCTATATCATCTTATTCTTCATTATTTGACATGCTTATTTTTAGTTCACATTTGTATGACCAGTAAGTTTTCAACGCAGGTTGTTTTCGGTAGATTTGGAGATATATAATTATAAATGAGGATCTTAATAAACAGTCATAGACCTTAATTAACATAATCGAAAATTAGTTACATCATAGTAGATGCGTTCATCATTTGATCTTTAAAGTTATTTTGTACATTTTTATTTCTTTAAATAAATTTCATCTTTTTAAACCATTTATATCAAGTTTCTGTTTTTCGTTTCTATTTCATCTACTCTAATATTACTCTTATTGAAGCGTTTAACATTTTCCTTAATATTATCCTCTTATATCTATATGAGTTAACTCTTGTATCAATCCTTATTCTATTTATGTCTGGTAACTATGAGTAGGCTTTTATTATTATTATTATTGATGAAGGATTTAAAAACAGTAACATTTAAATGAATCGTTTGTTTTAATGTATCAATAAAAAGAATTCATTAAAATATAAATATAGTAGCTAATTATATCAGACAATTAAAACAAAACAAAATAGCATTATCTGTCTCCATCAGATTAAAAAGAAACGTGTTCCCTATTTTATATTGATTGTACTAGTGAAACATATTTATTGTTTTCTTTAATTTAAAAAAAACAAAAATAGATGATCATTTAAATATTGAAGAAAATGAACAAATGACAACTGAAAAAGTAATAAAAAATCCTCTCGATCCTAAAGTATGCCTTATTGAAGAAGAGATTAAATCGAAACTTCTACAATCAGTTGATTCATTAACATCATCAGTCAATGAAACAGATACTGATGAACAAGATTTGGATGAATCTTCTACATACAGTGAATATACAGTATGTCATACGAGTTTTATATATCTATCATCTACCAGTTTGATTTTAATATTCGTTTGATGATAAATTAAAAGCGTTCAAAGATAGTGACAACTTTATGATGTGATGTGTCTAAAGTTTTTTTTTTCATATTTTAAAGCTATTCTACATAAACTGATCTGGTCTATGTGCTCATTCTTTAAAGCAAAATATCATCAAGAATTTCTGTGTTCCCTATGAAGATTAAGTCTTTTCATTAAATAAGAAAGATTAATTCAGCGAAAAGTTCTCTTTTCGGCGAATTCATTTTCAAAGCTGTACAATTGCAAATATAAATACTTATATTTTACAATCAGTCAGCTACAACGTAGGACCAGGCACATATATGCATCGGTCCAGGTTGCCATACCCCATTACCAAAACAAGATGGACACCGGATTCATAAAAGTAGTTAATTCAGAGGTGGTGATATATGAAAGAAAGACTGCATATAAGGATATAGTACACGAAGAGAGAATTAGTTCGTAGAAAGGAAGATATGAAGCTATTTTAATCCCACAGTTTAAGGGAAGACAAAGAGGATTTACGCCGACGCCATTGTGATCGATTCTGAGCCATGTCAACAAGAGTCTCCAACCATTGTTTACGGTAGTCGTGCGGACCCCAACCAAGTAGTCTGTATCTACCAACATGGCTTAGGCTAGAAGTTAGTGGTTTGGCTACCCCTAACTTTCTCCCAAACATCCCTTACACTAGTCAGCATTTCGCGTCGTGGTAACCGGTGTCCAGGCATACGTAACACTTGTCCTAACCTTATCAGTCGATGCAGATTCACAACTTCATCAACTGATTTACCATCATTCCCCAATACCCTGCGTCTAACCTCACTATTACTTACCCAGTGATCCCAGCAGACGCCAGCAATATTTCTAAGGCATCTGTGGTCAAATATTAGTAGCTTACGAGTATCTTCTACTCTTAATGGCCATGTTTCGCTGCCTTAAATTAAAACAGAACGGGATGATAATAATACTGATAATAAACTTCTGTTAGACATTGTGACAGTGAGGTTAGATAAACAAAGGTGTCAAGAGATTTCTTAAAACAAGGAAAGTTTAATAATCGTTTGATTGTTAATGGCTTAGGTATTCATCAAAAGGTGGATAGTGAAATTATCATTGAGAAAGGATGGCTCAGCATGATAAGATTAAATGTTGAAATTGAGATTAAATGTAATCAGAATGATCGTAGAGACAAAAAAAGCTAGTTGGGGGTAGAGGATTTAAGAGGAAGATGGAAGGTGAAGCAGATGGATGTAAAGGAAGAAGAGTATGAAGGAAGAAAAAAGAAAAGAAAATTATAAGACATTAAGACCATGGTAGAAGAAGAGGTTGCACCAGTCTCTTATGGACACACAATTCTGGTTTTTCCAGATGTAATGCTATTGCTTCAGCAATGCAGAGAAGATGCAGTCTGATTGTCTTAGGAAGGCTTCTACTTACCTTGTAGATGACTTTTAACGCAGAGTCTGTCTTGATTGAGTGACCTGTGTTCACAAGGTATTTGATTATTGAACTTCTTATTGAGCCGTTGCCTCTTCTTAGCCATGCCGGATATTCATTCATTAAAGGTTTCTACTGAATTTGTTATGTCCGATTTATTTTAAGAAGATAGGATTTATTGAATATGGATATAGTTTGTATGTATGATTCAGCATATTTGCGGTCTTATATACAAGTTTATTACTTGTTGGCATAAACGTATTGTAAGTAATATTGAACCATAGAATAGCCTTCTTCATGAACTGACAGCAAGTGAGAAATTGTCCAAAACGAGTTGTAGCAACGAACTGTGTGAGGTCCCTAAAGTCGGTTTTGTGGAGCTGCATGTTTGCATCACTGTGAAGTCTCAAACTACAATGAAACAACTATTTAGGGTTACATAATTTTTGTTTGTTCATCAGCAGAGTTTCATCCGTGATGTAAGGCATTACCATATTAATCCAAATCTCGTAACTCACTGGATTAGCTGTATCGAATCATTTAACCCAATAACAAATCGAACCAGCTTGGTTGTTAAAAAGGTGTGTTTTTTAGCTAAATATAGTGAAAAAAGATGACATGAGAGCAAACCTACATGATACATTTATTTTTCCTGATCAAAAATTAAGTTTAATCACCACTTGTTCCTTTGCTTCTGTCCTAAGTAAACATTTAGGTGAATCGTCATCACTAATCACTGGGATTACTCTCCTTTTGGTTATGAATTGCTGTAAAACGTCAGAAGATTTTTCAATGACATTCTCAGACAGTATTCTCAAAAAGTCATTTTACTGACCCTGTAGGAATTCCTCATAGAAATATGAAAATAATTAAAAATCGTTCATTTGAGCATTTTCAAATGATCAGAAATTATACTGATTCTATCTTGAATAAATAGGCTTTTGTAGATAAAATGGTTTGTTTTAATATTATAATTACGATTTATATACCTTATAAAACTCAACAGAGCTACATAATAAACCCACTGCATTCACTTAAATCTCAATACTTTTGTAATTATAAATTTTTTGTATTGATTTACTCCTTGAATAATAAGTGATATAAACTTTGTGTGTTATGTCATCCATATTGTATAGTTTCATTCATTAGAATATATAAACATCTTTTATTATAAATTCCATAAAATAATAAACCTTATTATCTTACGGTAATAATTTAACTAGTGTAGAATAAATAAGATATCCAGACTGATAAGGAAAATAAGTAATGAGACCTTCAAGAAATCACAATGTTTGTTCAATATTATACAATCATATCGTGTTAGGAAAAGCGTGTGTATAAGATTAAAGGCATTATACTATTATTTACTTTAATTATAACTTCTCAATAAGTCTAAAAGTAATTATCAGTTCCTTCTCAAACTTCATAATTACTAACCATTATACGCAATATTCTAATGATATATGACTTAGCTAAACCAATAGTAAGTTAAATTTGTTCATTTTTCTTTAAAATTAAAATAAATGTATTTGTAATCTCGATTTTATTCACCTTTACATTATCCACCTCAGTTACAAATCTTCACCACCATCTCAATTTTTTTTTCCATGCAATGAATTTATCTAATCGTTATCGTTTCATCTGATTGACAATTTTCTTACTTTTTGTAGTATAAGATTAAGATATTTGTGGCATTGTTCTTTTAAAATCTAAATTATTCTAACTGTATTTTAGTGGCCCGAAATCTGACTCCCATAATATCCTATGAATGATGGTTATTCATAACATACATTCTGATTATTCTCATTAGTGAATATCCAAATACGAGAATGAATTTGGAATATACTGTATTTCATACAGTCCTTGATCCAGACAAAATATCGGAGAAGCAAAGAGAAGAGAGCGGAGCGAAATGACACATGGTGGAGGAGGCGTGTTAGCAAACTCTATTTAATCAATCAGAAATTATAAACAAAAATAAGCTACAGATATGTGATGAATAGGATAAGACGTGTACACACATATACGATCATATAAAAACAGTCAGGGTTGATAAGTAAATGATTAACATGGTCAAAACGCGACTCAAGAATGGGTAAATTGGCCTGTCCAGAAGCTAGAATAAGCTGTGTGGGCTTAACGTATCAACCGATACTACAGTATGTAGTTTTATTAAATGAAAACTTATTGTCATAATAGTGTACCATGCTTCTTTTAATGATCTTCCATATATTATTATTACTTTGGACTACACAATTAAACGGCTGAATTCGTCTTCATTGACACTTTTACATATTATAAAGTGAATAAGTACATATAGTAATATGTATGTTGACACTTTTTAAATTTGAAAATGATACTCTAAGCACTTAACATTTTAACCGTTCCAAGTTATTTATAACATCATTCCTTCGTCATACAATCTTTTTTTTTTCAATAACAATTTGCTCTACAAAACCTATGTTCAAAATACCGCGTAATTAAAAGTTATGATAGATTTAAAACTAAATCTTTTCACCAGCTCAATAGATGGTACTGTATGTGTGTGTTAATGATGTCGACAGATATAAATAGTATTTATCACCAAGCGATTGTGGAATTCCTGGAGTCAGAAGATTGAGATCATGACAAAGTGAACAAAAACAGAGAGTGATTAGTATGGAAATGAAGGAACATGAAAATCTGAAACAATTAATGGACATTTTGTAAACGAAGTGTTCCATTGGTTCACTTGGTTGCCCCCACTTGTGATCTCGTTCGCTACAGTACTATCTTAATTGCTATAAGTTGTGTAACATCTTTCCTTTATATAATTATTTGTATGTTCGCAATATAAATCATTGATCTAAAGGTGGTGAATAAGAAACGATTCTTTTTCAAATAGACATTCATAATGATAATGTGCCTAATATATCAAATTGCGTGACTATATTTCCTGTCTTTTCATTGAATTTTATCCTTTGAACTATTATTATTCCTTTTTCTAATATGGATACATGGATAATTAACTAAGTTATTTACATATTTCTTAATTTCTTTCTTTTAATCTATCATGTATAAAGCTTTATTGAATTAGGCATTTTTTCTTATTTGTTTTCATATTATAAATTTACCACTATTTTCAATTTGTCACGCTTCTCTATTGTTTATTGCTTGTTTTTTTTGTGTTTTCTCATTGTGGATATTATTCAATGAGAAATGCAAGTTAAGGTAAATCTAAGGTCATGATAATCAAGAAAAACTTTGTATCTATGTTCATGATAATAGAATTTAAAAGTTAATATAAGTATTATTTACTCAATATGCTTTAGGGTGTATCTGCATAGTTGAACCTATTTATAAAAGAAAGTAATCCATTTTAATCATATCAAATTACTTGATTAGTTACAAATACATTTCGTCATGAATCGATAAACAGTGAAAAATGTATGAAAACGTCAAATATACTAATTAATTATGTCATTCATCTCTAATACTCTTAAATAGTATTCACTTAAGATTACTTATAGTACTATGATTAGTATTTTCAACCTTGTTTCCCGAGTTACTTTACAACTAATCAAGAGATTTGAAATTTATCACCTGTTACCTTATAATTTTACCATAATGACAACTATTCTTGATACTTACGTATCTCTGATAGCATTGAACAAGTTTTATGTTGGAACGGACGGTTTGTGGAATTCGTAATATTTGATGAAATCCTGCTGCACAGATTAATGTCAGATCGACTATCAGTGAAAATTAGGAAGCAGTCAAATAACTGATCACAAAGTTTCAGTGCTCCTCAGTTTTACATTGTTGTTTAGTTGAATTTAATTCACAATACGACTTTTCTGCTGATTGGTTTCGTTTTTTTTCTCTAATCTCACGATGTATTCCCATTGGTATTATTTGGTTATTTACTAATTATTCCGTAATAATTAAACTCGATCTCTGGTGTCTTAGCTCATTATCATTGGTGTTTCATTAACGAAAATCTAGTCATTGTATATTACATCAATCGGATCAAATTATTTCTATAACATTAACTTATATAATATTATTTTCATGTTTATTTATACTTTTATCTGAAGGATTATGCAGAAGAAGAAAATGATCCAATGGCATGTCAATATCTAAAGTTTGACTGTAAATTCGTTGTCGATTTGCAAGTAAGTAAAAATGCATAATTGATTTGTACATAGTAGGGAAATAAAATAGTATTTGCAAAAAGTCGAATTTCTGACGTTAATCAAATCATTTCTTTATTTACTGCTATTATTACATTATAATTATTTTACTTAATAATCAAAGCATTGACCAGTGGAGTTCATCCAGATCTGTTGTGTGATAGTAACTCATTGAAAACAATGGTTGATGTGTCGCTCGATTTCGTGAATTAGTTGAAGTTAAACATTAACACCGTTGGATGCCAGTCAGCTCAGCGGTCCAGAGGTTAAGCGTCCGCGCGCGAGACTGATAGGTCCTGGGTTTGAATCTCGCGTGGTGGGATCATGGATGCGCACTGCTGAGGAGAGCCATACTGGGACGAAACGGCCGTTCAGTGATTTCAGGTTTTTTATGGTGGTCTATCTTCAATTGACTCATGATCTCAACTATTGAAAATACTCAAATTATTTGAAATTATCTACTCAAATAATTATATTAATACTTACGCTGGCATTTCAGTCAAACTAGAATAATATTAAGACCGTGGAATATTGGGACCTTTGACCAACTTAGATTATAATAAGAATATCTGATCCCATTGTGAATTCTTTTTTTAATCATTAGACGGTGCACAAATACCATAATACGGATAAGGACACTTATTTGCATTATACAATTATCACTTTGTTGATGTTGTTCAACGAAATATATTTGGCGTAATAGTACTCATTAGTGTAAATTGGATTCTAAAAGGATTAGGTCCAATGGATTCACACTTACATTTTATTCCAGTTGAACTCTTCTTGTCAGTTTTCACCAGTCATAACCAAATAAGACTTTAAACTTACTTGATTTTTAACATAAAATGGATATATGTTTTTCAGTATCAGATTTATACAATTAATTCTGATCTCTCTGAAGATTTTTCGTCGAATCCGTATTTCATTAGAAGCCTATCAGTGACATTTTACTATGGTTGTGTTATAAATTATTTGAATAAAATGGACTGATGTGAATTTTAAGATCACATTCTGTGGTTGAGCGATCAGCATGGTAAAAAGTGAGAAATAAGGGTAATAATTTAAGGGCTGTATCAAAAATAAGTAAGAAGTGTATCAGTACTAATATAACTTTTCAAATTATTCATATTTCGAGTTGTTGATACAGATAATTTTAGCCCAATGATCAAAGTATTTTCTCTGTACAAATATAACATGCCTACGTATATCTCAGTTGGTATTTCACTTCTAAATTAGTGAGTATATGAAATTTCTCAGGATATTGTTATATCAACTCTGCTTATGCTGTATATTTTATACCATCTCTTTAATTGTTTTTTTAAAAAGTCAATGTGTAACAGCCTTCTGTTAAGCACATGTTTATGTCTATTTTCTTTTTCCAATAGACTACTCAGTTTTAGTTTCAATTTAGTGAAAAATAGCTGGTGATATTATGTTATTGTGACATTCATATATTTTATTTACTTATAAGTAGAAGTTACTTAGTATTTAAATCATCCAACTTTCAATCAATATTAATAAACATATGAAGATTAACGTGAAATGCAGGTACATCCAGTCAGCAGTCCTCAAACAAGGTGAAACGCGCATTTCCTGTTCTACTACTAGCCACAATCCATTTGTACTAACATTGTCTTTAAATCTCAACTAATATATTGTTCAACAGATATGACTTTAGTAAGGTATTGCTAACTGAATTATATCAACCAAATTTGGACTATACTGCTATCTGCTTTGTTTCTTTCGTTTATTCATGGATAATAACCCTTAACTTTTACATCAAATTCATTTATCATTATTCTTTAATTCTCATTTCTCACAACAACTCATTTCGTTCATTTTATTATTATAGTAACTACCTAAAAAACTATTAAAATTATTATACTAATTATTTTTTTTAATAACCAAATAGCCAAATTTTTTCTTGCCTTCCATAACTTCTGGTTTAAAATAGTTAAGATCGTTTTGTTCCTAGACGTAAAACTACAAGAACTTCATTAATGAAAGTGATCTTTTCTTCTGCGCAATGTTTTGATTGATTTCTCTTTTCACATATTTCTCTACTTATATTCTCTACTAGTGTTCTGTTCCTGGGATAATTTTGGTAACCACAAATATGTTTGTGTTTAAACCATACGACGAAGAACAATATCCACTGGAAAATCATTGTAAACAAATTCCATTGAGTCAATTTCGTACGATTGCAGTTTACAGGGATCCATCTGTTATGTATTTTACAAAACGTGGAGCGTAAGTTTGCGAAATAGTGAAAAAAACGTACTATTCATTTGTGTTGAATCCCTATGTTATTACTAAAAACTGCCTCATTATTTTTCCAAACCTTCTCACCAAGAAGCAGTACGTTTAAGATTTGCAATGATTATTTAATAAAATTCACGAATTGTATTTCTTAACTTCAGTTATCTGTGATGTAGCGCTGCTGCTATTCATTATACCTCAACAAAAATGTTGCTTTGTACATGATTTAGATCATACATGGAGCATTATCTTGATCTAGTTGCTATTTATACCTCATTGACTAGTAGCACAACTAGGAAAATATCTCAATTCAAGGCTTCAAAACCTATTGCTTCCAATCGCCTTGTTTAAACATATTCCAACAATTCCCGATTTACTTAAACTAGTAAACACATCAGAACTTGGTTTATGAAATCAACCTAGAAATAAGATACAGATAAATATAACATTGATTACTGTTAAATGCTTTACTAATTTTCATATAAATGAGTTACAACCCTATTATATATGGTTGTATGACTTCTCGAACATTTATTTCACCGAAGCTCCACAAGTGTATACACTTAATTCTCCTTGAACTTATTTTTAGCATCTCTTATAAATATAAATAAACTATACGATTATTTTTAATGATACATCTCTACATCATTCTTTTCTGGCAATAACTTCATTCATCTACTTCAAAGTATATATTTCTTTTGTAATAAGTAATATATTTTAACTTATTAAGCGCATACCCAATAAATACGTTTCATTAATTCGATGATATACTTCCCTATTTTCGGCTTGTTTACTTAGTTACACTAATTAATCAATATAAATGGATGAATACTCAAAACTAATTAATATTCTGATGCACCAAGTAAAAATTGAAAGAAAGAGAAAAAGGGGGGTGTAGAAGATCAATTTTGAACATTTTTCCTTGGTTTTTTAATTAGAACGAAATTAAGAAAGAGAAATAGAAAAATTATAATTGTCTCCAAGCTTTTCAATTTTACATCGTTTTTCAATTTTTTTAAAAATTATTTCTGAATATGATTAAATTGTCTCATTAATTTAATTATTGTCCCAGATGATTTGTACGAATGTATTCGATATAAATTACTTTCTGAAGGTTTTGAATTCAAATGAAAGGGTTTTAAATTTTATTAAACAACTGTAACTATGCTGAATATTTTGATGAGTGTATATATATATATATATATATATATATATATATATATATATATATATAACTATTCAGTTGGTTTGGTAGAAATGTATAATTTTGTGGTGATTTTGAGAAGAGACTGACATCATCTGATAAGAATTGTACAACATAATTCCGTTTTGATATATAAGATTTTCCATTTTCATACATCTGCGCTAGTGAAGTAAACTTAATCCTATTCATCGTTCTTGCTCTTTTTAAGATAATAAAGGGAAAATTCATTGTAAATTGTAAACATTTTGATTTCTTGAAATAATTCTACTCTGTCAGGGTCATTAATCGTTCATGTAAAACACAACGGTGGCTCAATTTCGTGGATTGGTTGAAGTTAGACATTAACGCTGTTGGATGCCGGCTCAGTAGTCTATTGGTTAAGCGTTTGCTCACGAGACTAATAAGTTCTCGGTTCAAATCTCGCGGGCCGGACCATGGGTGCACACTGCTGAGGAATTTCATACTAGGAGGAAACGGCTGTCCAGTGATTCCAGGTTTTTTATGGTGGTCTAGCTTCAATTGATTCATAAATTCAACTATAGGATTACTGAAATCTCCACAAAACCTCTTCTGGAAATAATACTATCGACATGATACTCTCAAAGGAACTACAATGTCTTTTTACGCACAATTTAAAATCAAGGCATTAACGACCTCCTGCTTATGCGATAAGTTGCAGTTCTATCTATTTATCTTTCAGACTAATGCAATGTAATTCGATATCTGATCCCTATCCGTAATATGCCTCTGTAATTTCTGGACACCAGTTTTTTATACAGATCTTTAAAAATCTCACATCTTCTGGTAACATTTGAGCTGATGGAGTTAATTTTAACAAAGAGACAAATGTTTCTAGACTGATCAAATGTGAAATAACACGGAATATAACTATTTTGATATATTTCCTGTAGCTAAAACTTCAATAAAGCGTAAACCAGTTAAAAAAATTCGACTGGATAAACAGTTTCCATTATACTAGATATAAACAAATGCCTTAATAAAATAACTACGAACACAGTTAATATATACCTTGTCATTAATCTATGTTTATGTTAAAACATATTGTCAATAATAAGAATACATTCTATTCGCTCAATAAGATTCCAGTCGATGTATAATCATTATTCACGTGTTTTACTGTTACTCATATCACACTTACGCCTGTTACCCCTCGTGAAGGAGCATAGGCCGCTCACCAGCATTCTCCATACAACCCTGTCCTGGGCAATCCTTTCCAGCTCCTTCCAATCATTATCCATCCTTTTCATGTCTGCTTCTATTTCCCGACGTAATGTGTTATTTGGCCTCCCTCTTTTCCGCTTCCCTTCAGGATTCCGAGTTACGGTTTGCCTCGTGGCATATTCAATTTAAAAGAAACAAGTCTAAAAATAAACAACTATGCAATGATATTATCATGTCTTTTAGAAAACATCAAACCTAATAACTAACAGTTTATATATTGATACTTTACAGAGCTATCAAATGTTTTATTGATTATTTTTAATATATCGGTTTTAAAACTATGCATTGTCGTTTGTAGTTTCTATGAGACATAAATTTTTTAATTATTGTGAGCTTAATTCTGTATGAATAATGTTATCTTTTTTTTTATATTTATCTTAGGCAACCTGCTTCATGTCCTAGCAACGTGAATATTGATTATAATGTTAATGACATCAGAAATTCTAATGAACAAACACCTTGTGTAATAATTACAAAAAATGATGATAATTCAATAGATAAGTTGTCAAATCCCATAGAAATTAAGGAAATATATGTGGAATGAATTCAATTGAAAAATATGATATTGAACAAAAAGATAATGAAAATGTGATTACAACGGATGATATGAATATTAGTTCGGCTGCTTCAAATTTGAAGAAATGTGATTTAGGTAGGGATACGTTATGAATTATTGATAATGATTTTAATCTATAAATTTGCATTTTATCTGATTAAATAGTACTTAAAAACATAACTCGATGTTGCGTAATATGAAGTAAGTGATAATGTTAATGAATAACAAAATGAAGTGATGTAGAGGCTGGTACTGTGTCAAGCCCATATAGATTATTATAGCCTCTGGACAAATCAAACTACTCATTCTTCTCAAGCCTTATTTTTACACCCTTTCACTTATTCGATTATTAACCCCGACGGCTTTTTATATGATCATATGTGTGTTAATTACTTACTCTATGCATCATGTGTCTGTAGCTTAATATTTGTTTAATTATAAATATCTATTCACACTTAATTAAATCGTGTTAACTCACGTGCCTTCTCCGGTTCGTTCCACTTTGCTCTCACACTCACTCTCCTCTGTGTTCACTTTCTGCGTTGCTTGTGGATTTTACCAATTATGAACAATACACTATCCGTAAAACTGTTGTTTTTGTCTTTGAATAATCTCGAGTTAATTCATAATACTACTAGGATATTTAGCCTCTCTAAATACTCAGTTAACGGGATATCATTTATTGGCGTCGGATATAGAAGAATTAACCTCTACAAAGGCATATTCTCTAAACATACATGTAATCAGTCTATTATTTAAAGAATGTAGGCTTTGAGAAAAGAATTATAACAAATAAACAGTTACTATGTTTTCTGTTTGCAGCAAAACCTACGCTTGTTTAGTGTTTCAATGAATTTTTACTTTCATTTGTTACTAATCCATGTTATGAAAATGTGTTTCATAGAGTGATTTAGTTCCCACCGGAAACATAAAAATAATAATCTGAAGTTATAAAAAAATACGAATCTCTATATACTCAATGATATTTGATTTGATTTAACTTCCTCTGTTTCATTATCACAGGCTTCAAATTCTAGGATTTGATTATACATTTAAAATTTGTTTCATTCTACAATTCCCTCACTCTTTTTGATAGTAATTATTCCCATTTTTTAAAAAGTGTTTATCATGAAATTCAAATTCTGTTATGTGATAAAAATGTTTCATTGAAAAACGAACACGACAGGATCTGATATTCCCTAAGGTTAAATATCATTTTCACATACAAGTAGAAACTTATTTTTTTTGTAATATAATACTTGTAAGTAGTGAAAAATGTTTGGTTATCAGTTTTTCTTTGTTTTATAAGTTGAATCATACGTTTATGAACAAACATTTAACTGGCATCGAGTTTTAAAAATGCCAATTTAAAAATAACAAGAATAGTTTACTGAATTCATAAGTTTCAGTATTCGAAATGTTGCTGTTCATCTGGTTATAAAAAAAAATTGGATAAGATATTACATTTTCCTGTTTGTTTTTTTACTTCAATTTAAGAACATTTTGATCATTTACGAACTACCGGTAATGTATATTTCATAGTTTAGATTAAAGGCTAATCTTAATTAAACCCCTGTGATAAACGAAGAGGTATTGGACAGCTGTTTTGTCCTAGTACGAGATTTCTCAACAATGTACGACGGGAATGATAATGTAAGACGGTTGCACTATTTCACGAATTGCTAAGTTAGACCTGTAAATCATTGATTCGCGGCTCAGTGGTCTAGAGGTTAATCAAAAAACAATGGTCATTGGTTCGATTCTAAGTGAGGTCGTTAGTGCATATTGCTTACGAACTCCATAGGATGACGAAACAACTATGCATTTCTCCCTGATTGTCAATGGTTGTCTAAATAAGATCATCTAGTAAAGCAAATTTTGCACCCATCGCACACTCTTATACTATTTTTCCTGTTTCAGTTTATTCCACTTGATAGCTTTTTTACTAAATCATTAACTTGGAATCTACTTAAATTATTGTTTGGATGATGAATCTTTGAGTAAAAGCTGAGTTAACAAACTGAAATTAAAGTTTTTATAAGCAACTTATTCGTTTTATAATTTGATTCAGATTAAACGAAGCGTGTAACACATTTTATGCTTGAACAATTCCACTTTTTACATAATCCTTGTGTTACGTTCGAATTTTATTTGTAACTTAAATCTCATTTTTCTAATGGATTTATTTTAATACATTTGAGTAGTTGCTGGTAGTTGTTGGGGTGACCCTGAACATGCGTTTTATGTTAGTTGGGATTCTTCAGCAAGTTACATTACAACTTATTATAGTTGATAAATGCCAGAATTGGTTTCTATGCTATCTATCTACTAGACTTGTGAACGAAATCTATTGATTCTATGTTTTGTGTGTTCGAATTAGGAACAGTTCATCAACTACTGTCCACTTTGTTGTATCACAAATTTCAGTATATAAATTTATTGTGCAAATGCTTAAATTACATAGACCTCATTATAAGGCTCTCATGAAAAATATAAATAATCGGAAAATAACAAATTCAAAGTCCAGTTTTAAATCAGAACAGTAGAAATCCCTTGTTTATCAATGGATGTGCTATTGATTTTACGGCCCCTTCGCAACCAAAAACATTAACTCAACTTCGTCAAACTAAATACTGTAGTTACTAGAAAAGCAGCGAAGATATCAAAACAAATTGATCAACTATGTTCAAGAGTTTGGTCAAATTACTTCTTATATTATTCATGTGTTAAATTGTCTCTTTACTTATAAATGATAGCTTAATAAAAGTAAGTTTATTGATATTTCTGATTTTCGAAGTTGCTTAATATAATCAGAAGACCTGATTAAGTAATTTCAAAATCTAAAGCTGACAGTAAAATGTATCGCATCCATCAAACTATCAGGTGAATGTTTTAAACACTTTATATTATCAAAGTAACAAGTTGACTTTAATAACTTTGGTGTTATAGAACCAAACCAGTAATACTTTTGGTGGAAAAACCATGGTTCTTGGGATCAATTAAGCCAAATGCTAGTTGGAAACACTGTATGATCATTGCTCAACAAATCGCTTTTCAAGTGAAGTTATAAATAACAATTATTGGATCCCAACATCTTCCAATTCTATGGTATTATTTACTCAGTAAAACATAGAAATCTTATAAGTAAAGATAGTTGGTGGCTAGCAGTAGAATCCAGGACGCTTGTCTCGCTCTATTTGGGACTCATCAGCTGGACGTATGTTCCAGATTTGATGTTCTCTCCGGGACTCGAACCCAGTACCAGTCCTAAAAATCAATGGGAAGTTTCAAATAAACCTAGTGAATATAAACATCATAGCTTTTGTCCATTGAAGATACAAGAGTTCTTGCTTCCCAGTTTAAAATATCTCGACTGCAAATGATTCTTCAACTAAAATGTTCTGTATATCCACAATTATTCTATATATTATATATATTCTGTTTGCAGATGGTCATATTATTATAAGTAATATATTAGTAAGATTTCCTATGTATTATATTCATGCATGACAATTTTTTTCTCATTTATGTTTTTTTCCTTTTGTTTAGGTGATAATCCATTTTATTTATGTATATTAGCATCTACTAATTCAGTTGAAAATAACAAACATAGAAGACATCCATATTGGTTTACAGTTCAATCAGAAGAATATTGGTTTTTAATACCAAATGAAAAGTAATCATAATTTATTCGACATTATGTGATTATTTATTGAAATGAAAAGAATATTTTTGTCAATATTTTCTAATTTACTGAGGAGTCCTATACTAAGACGAAACTGCCATCCACTGCTTCCAGATTTTCAATAGTGGTTTAACTTACATCGACTCATGTATTCAATAATTAAAATTACTACAATCTCCACAAATCACCATTCCAAAAAAGATACTGTATGAAATCTTTCTTATATATTTTGAATGATTAAATTATTACGAAACTAAGTCAAATATAAATTATAATGAGTTGCTACCTGATTGTCATTCCATCTTGAATTTCTAACTTTAAGTGAATTAATTGCGCATTACTACATTTTTTTGAGTAACCTTAATTAAACTTTGAACAATTCTGGAAATAATTCAAATTGTTCGTAAGAGGTCGTGTTTCTTGATAGTCGATATTCAGATCTAAATCTTTGTTAGTCTCCGTTAGTATGTCATCAATTCTGAGTAGATGACTCTATACTAATTTCAATTACAGAATTTTTTATATTCTTAAACTTTAGCTAGCAGTTGAATCTAGGTTTCATGTTGCATTTCATTTATATCCTTTCATCTGAATACTTATTTTATTTTAACACGTAGAAATTGGTACAAGAAGGCAGCAAATATATCTGCACCACACAAATCGGATGATTTGTGTGAAAGCTAGGTTACCTCTCGAAAGCCCAAATCAAAGCAGGTGGTCTTCTTAAGAGGCCACACTCTGAGCATTTGACCTAAAGTCCTGTTCCACAAGGCAGAGGAGCAACGTAAGGAAATACAGTCCCATGGTAGTCGGTAACCCACAATAAGCTAATATGCCATTTGTTCCCATAGGATCCTGGATCCCATATGCACCATTGGTTTAGGATCAGGGTTTTTTAACTCCCCTAGGTAGATTCTCTATGTCCACTAATCCAGTTAAAGCATCAGAAATTCACTTTTCGTTCCCTGAAGTTCGTAAGCAACACCCCGTCGCGAGAGGGTAGTGAATAAGACTTCCCTGGCCTAATGAGATTGCATCCAAGAAAAAAAAAATCAAATTCTAGTCCTGAATATGAAAAATGAGAAAAACACAAACTTTTATTTAAAAAAATATCATACACATTGGACACTGTAGTAACTATATGAATTACGTTATTACAGGTTGATAACTTACTACGGTTTGCAGCTATAGATACTAAGTTGACTACTAGTGTAAACATAAATATTAGAATGTTTGTATATCTAATTAACGAGTTTTAAATAGGAATGAAATGAATACTGGGTATTATATTGATAGCTTTAATGTAAAAACATTACATCTAAGTTATTATATGTTTGAATATGTTACTTAATTTATTTCATCATGTAATACATTAATTTTATATGTGAATTCATTCTTCTGTATAAATGATAAAGAGAAACACTTCATTAGGTTAATAGTGAATACACATTGCTATTAATTGAAATAGACACGAATAAAATCTGAATTACTTTTTATCATTGGCTTAGTATAACTAACTTAATCTAAGTGGACATGAATTTCTTCAAAGAAAATCTCTTTTGTGACAAACATGCCTATGCTCCTCCACGAGGAGTAACAGGCGAAAGGAAGTAAGTAAATTAGAAATTGACTTAGTAGATATATCAAAATGATGCATTAAAACTTTTAAATGAGTTGTTGTTATCTTCTGTTGTAAAACAGTTCAACAGTACCATTTACTTTTGGATTATTTATCAGCTTGATTGACTGATAAGTCAGAAATTGTTTAGTAATCAATATAGATTTTTATTATTTGGATAGTTTTCATTAGCAGTTGTGCTGTGAACACTTCTTCCTTTCCTTTTTTTCCTAAACTTATGTTTAAAACAGATCGAAAATTTTATTTGACTTCCTTCTAACTTGTCAATTTCATGGATACGAGGATGATGTTAAACAGGGCACAGATATGGAGGTCAGTCAATTATCGATTAAAAGTACTGAAATCAAGGATACGAACAAAACCAACACAATCACCAGCAAACTTCATTCGAAATCATTAGGAAATTTAAATTTTTTCAAATCATCTATTATCAGTCCAGTTTCAAGTGAACGTTTCTGTTTGGATGATAGTGGCAGTGATGATGTTGGTAAATTTGAGAAGACACTCCATCGTCATCATAATCACAAACATACTCATCGACATCATAATCATTGTCATTTTGTAGTTGTCCCAAACACATTCGACTGGGTTCTACCGCGTATCGGTATTTCAGATGATCATTCTCGCACATTATTAATTTTGAAAAATCAACAAAAGTACACACCAAAAATATCTAGTTATCAGAATGAACACGGTCAGCAAAATTGTCAGTCAAATGAATTGAAAGAATCACAGAACTTAGAACAGTCAACAAATAGTTCTTCCCTTACGGATACAACTGATATAAGCAAAACAGTAGAAATTTGTGATAGTATACCTTCTATGGAAGAAGAAAAAGCTGCGTTGCAACTACTGAAACGTGAAACTGTCAACTGGGAAGTAAGTTCTTTAGTTTCTAAAACTTCATTTTAATTGCTTTTATTTCATGATATGACAGCTGAAAACTAATAGTTGTTTTTTAGTTAATATTTCATTTTTAACTAGATATATCCATATTGAGTAATAAGTATTCCTGTGTTGATCATGAAAAAATTCGATTTCTGGAAGTTGTTTTTTGTAAAAGATGAGAATTGGAGAAACCACCGAAGACATGAAAACAATTGCCAATTACTTGGATTTTGTGTAAGGCTACGTAACAGTGTGTATCCTTAATCCCCTAAGGTTTCAAACGTGGGAGCTTCAGACTTCATAACCAGTGAGCTATTTAGAGAATACTGAGTCGAATTCCCATGATCTACACTTCAACTGGATCGTTGCACAACATCCCGAATTTCACTACACTTATATATTGAACATGATAATTTTTCAATCATTCGTCATTTCACTCAATAAACCACTTATCATTAGCTTTACAAATAGAACACTTCATTCAACTATACATTTAATTAAGTAATTTTCTTTTATCACGAGATGATTCGCATTCAATTCAATATAAGTCATTTACATATAATTTTTTTAAACTAACTAATTCCTTGTTTAGTGGTTAACATCACCATTTCGTACTCTTTTGAATAATATCAATAAATTGGTAAGATAAAATATTATAATAAAACACTTAGAATGTTTAAACAGATTCATTCTAGTTTCCATGGTAGTTTTCAGTTGTGTTTAAATAATTCAATAGTTGAGATCATGAGTCAATTAAAGCTAGACCACCATGCCAAACCTGGAAGCACTGGACTACCGTTTCGTCCTATTATGGGACTCCTCGGCATTGCGCAACCACGACTTCGCCGCGCGGGACGAAACGGCCATCCATTGCTTCCAGGTTTTCCATGGTGGTCTAGCTTCAATTGACTCATGATCCCAACTATTGAAATTACTCCAATCTCCATAAAACCCCTTCTGATACTAATTCACAATTCATTTTAAATAAATCATTTTTGACACACAATAATTTGTGGTGATTACTAACTGAATTCTGGATTTATTATGATTTCTGTTTTTTTTTTACACTCTTAAAAAACCTTTGTTTTTTCCTGTTTAGTTTGTCATTTGTTGATGATACGAAACTTCTGGATAAAAGTTATATACATTTCAATGCCTATTCTTCTTTTCAGTTTTCATTGAAAATTGATAGTTATGTAATAAAAAGGCTATTTTAATTTAACGTATTTTTTTGTGATCAGGATCATTATAACATAAGAAAGATTGGTTCAATGATGAGTTCTCTTTTCAGTGAATTTATTTTCAAAGTTGTACAATCGCATAAATACATGCCTATTTTTCAAGATGATAATAATAGTGATTATTAAATTCTATTAAACATGGTAACAAAGAGGTAGAATAAACAAAATAATAAAAAAATATTTTTAATCTGGGAAACTAATAAATAGGTTTATTGATAAAGGCTTGAATGTTCACCATGAAGATAAAGAAAGACAGTATAATTGGGAATGGACGGCTTAGCATGGATAAAGTACGCATCGAACGACCTGTAATACCTGGCTCCATATGAGCAGATAAATTGGTTGGTGCACATAGAGTTGGTGAGATGAGATAACATATCCATAAGATTATTGATGAACATTGATCAGCTGGAGAACACAATTCGCAACGTTGCTGCGAAGAACATACTTTTTAAAAATTCAGAAATACTCCTCTTTAGGACGTCTATAGCTCTTTCACCCTGAAATTTGTTCATGTCAAGTGTTTTCTTTTCAAAGCCGAAGTTATTTATGTTTTAGGTGTACAAAAGAGACCAGTAAAATTGTGGATACTATTTTCTTTTACTGATACCACTCATAAAAAAATAGTTTGTTTTAAACAGATTGAAAATATAAGAGTAACACTATTGATTTATTGATTATTATCAATAAACTTTATATAAACTTAATTTGTTTATTACTTATAACTTGTATCCGAATAACTAATAATAAGCAACATGGTATCTTATTGACTATTAGTCATTCAACTGATTGAATATAAAATACATAAATTCGATTTAATAAGGGAAATATTGTTCATTAAGTGAATAAGTCTCATAGTTATCCCTATACGTTTACCTCAGTTGTATTGCTTTAATCATTTTCTGTGTGATTTATATATATTGCATAAACAACATAATACTAATCAATGTATCTTATATGATAACTTCTGATAATGAGTGTTTTAGATATATTGACTCAATTTCATTTATATTTTCCAATTAGAATATAGATGGAATTAGAATTGATATGTGACGTATGTATGTATAGTATTGTTAGCATTATTGAAAACTTAGTCGTCTAGAGATTAGAAACTAGTTTTACTGCAATAATAAATATGCAACTGAACCCTGTTTTTTAGTTTGTTTGTTTTTTCATTATTTGTCTTCATGATTCCACTATTGTTATTTGATGTTCACCATCCTATTTCTATACAATTTTTTTAACTCTAACCATTTTCTTGATTATATCTTTTCTGGTTATTACTTACTCTTGTTTGGGTTTCACTATAGATAATAATTTTATGACATACTGACAACGTGGATATAACAGAAAATAATGAAACAAAAGATATTATCATTCATACTTTATTTACTAAGTTCCTGTCAACAATTTGTATATACATCCGAATGCTACATAAGTGTGAAACCTAAAAAATATTGACTAACACTGAAATCATTAGTCTCATCGATTTCAATCATTTATATTTATAAACAATGATGGATAGTGGCCAGCAGTGGAATCCAGGACGCACGTTTCGTCCTATTTGGGACTCGTCAGCTGGATGTATCCGCATCTCAGAGTTGATGTTCACTCTGGGACTCGAATCCAGTACCATTCGCTTCAAACGCCATCGCGTTATCCACTTAGCTACTGTGTCCTGATAGCCACTTGCTTGTGCATTTGGGTGAATTTAAATCCATTTGGTATTGTTTGGCTTGTATCTTCCCATTTATATTTATATTTATATTTAGGTTGATATTTACGACAATGAAATGTAGAGCTCACGTAATAGTTAATTAACTCAATGGTTTTTTTCACACATATTATGATGAGTTTTATTGTTCTGAACGACATCATCAGCACAAACTTCAAACTTCAGGACTTCTATCAGAAGTTCAGCTCAGAGAACAAAAGTCTATCAAAATCATCTACTTGAGCTACGAATATTCTCTACTTATGCAATGATTAAATTTGAATCCGTAACTTAGATTAAGGTAAAAATTTTTTAGTTACTTAACCAGTGAGTTGAGAACTATATACAATCCAAAAATATTTTTTCACTCGAAATAACACTAACTGCTCAACTGTTAAAGACTATAAATTATTAAGCAATTAGTTTATCCTTGTTTGAAACTCTTCAAGCTTGTGGATCTATAATGTCTCACACAGAATCAAGTCAATATTTTGCGGATCATGCAAATATTACTGTTCACTTCTTTTTTTAATTAACTGAGTCAAAATTATGCAGTTTGATAGGTGTAGTGTACCACTAGGAAATTCGCGTTTTGAGCTTAATGATTTTATACTTAAATCTTTCTGTCAATCAGATTGCTTATTGCTTCACATTTCTAACATTGTAATGTTTTTTTCTGTATATTTCTTATTACACACAAGTTGGTTAGTTCAAAAGAATTGGAATTGAAAGACTTAGAAGAAGAAAAAAGAAAACAATTCATGTTTGACTGTATAAAATTGGCAGAACCAGAATTATTGCCAATACCTACTGCAACATCGAACAGTGAAATCTTTGATGTACATAAAGTTCGTGATGTAAGTAAATATATGTACATACAGAATAAGTGATTACTGTATTTCATCTACCATGTACAGTTTTATGTACTCAATTCTAAGTGTTACAGTGTTGGTTAAGAATAATGATGTAATCCATATTTTTGTAGAAAAGTAGCTAAAACATGATGGTTGAATTGTTGGAAATCGGTTACATGTAGTCTCATTATGATGCTTTATCATTATTTAGTTTCCATTTCAAGCCTTATTTTGCTTAATGAGATTTCCTAACGAGTAATATCATATCTTAAGATGTGCATTATGAAAATACATAACATTTTATCAGAACAATATATTTTGCAGACTTTAGATGTCGGAATATGCACTAGATGCATATATGTTTGAAATAATCTACTATTGTTTTTAAAAAAACACTAAATTTGTTTCCAAGACAAATAACTTAATGTAGTAGCCTTTTAATGACATCCTATTCCATGAGAATTATCAATACAAATTTAGGGAAAAATCATAATTTTTTCATTGAAACGACCGAAACGTTTGAGTAGTAGTACTCATCAGTAAAGAGCGAAACAAGAAGATTACAAACCTTGTGAAGACATTTTTCGACTGAGTTTTGTTCTCTGAGCTGGATGGTTTGGTTGTAGAGCTTTCGTCGTTCTTCTGAGCAACATCATCCGCTCTCATCGACGTAATGTTTTTCGTAGTTGGCAAAATTTATTTTGTAAATGATGTTCGGTTCCTTTTATTTTGCCATTTCGTACTTTGGTTTGCATAGGATTGATTGTAGTGCTCTTGTTGGTTTGTGTGTTACATTTTTTCCGAAAGGCTTTAACAATCTCGTTGTAGTTTCTGACATGCCTTTTGTATATGGTAGGGTAATCCTTTTGTTTGACTCTCTCTTCATCTTTGCCTGCATTAACATCAATTAGCGGTGAAACGTCATGACATATCCTTACTTATATCAATGCATGTGGATAATTAAGGACACACATTCGATTGGAAGAATGCGGAGATCTAGAATAAAGGCAATTCTAAAAACACCAGAGAATTTTTAGAAGCTTGGCATCCAGGTCACTCAGCAAGCACATTGAGATCGATCCACTTTATCAACCAATCAGAAAACATTGTGGACAAACATAGGACCAAAAGCAAACCAATAGGAGATACAACCAAAATAAAGAAGTAAACAGTTACAGGTTTAAGGTCAGGAAGAACCAATCAACATCGAGGTCTACAAGACAAGCTTTGAGCTATATGTAGAGAAATTCAAACACTTCACTTCTTCTCGACGTTTGTGCTAATGATGTCGTTCAGAAGAACGATGAAAGCTCCACGACAAGACAATTCAGCTCAGAGAACAAAAATCTAGAACAATATTGGTTGAATTAGAGCTTATTGCGAGTTTTCATCAGAACAGTCATTCTCATGTGATGTTCATCAGAGTTGCCCACTATTCGCTTATTCAACATATTTTTGCAGCGTTATTCAGTTACAACCAGAAATATTTATTTTAGCCTAAATCACGAAATTGATATAGGATGATTCTTCATATTTTACAAAATTTGACCAACTTCTGGACATACGTTAAATCCACGATATAATATTATGTTTCATGAGATCTGCTTCTACTTGTTAACTAGAACTACTATGAATCATTAAGTATCCACGTTGATTACCCAATCAATATAACGAAATACTAAACCAACTGAAGTAAATGAATTAATAATTATCACTGGTTTTATCTCCAAATCCCAATCAGAAATATTTCCAATGACATGACTAGTTGAACAACTAAGTATGTTAATATACCCTGGGAAATCAGAGATATTACTGAGCTAAATTAATTTAACAATAAGTCAATTCTCAAAATCAGACTAATTGGTAACTAATCACTTTTACTACTTATAATAGTTCCAAATTAGTTTTACCAATTCGTTTCATTCATAGTAAGAGATAAATAATTCTGTTGAAAATGTCCTTGTCGAACAAAAGCCAGTTATTGAAATATGTTATATCCCGATAAGAATGATGAATGGTAATTTTTGGGGATCCATTTATGGACCAATACTATGAGTGTATTTTTATCGTATAATTGTTATGTAACTAAATTGTTCATATTCATGTCGCTCTTATTATAAGCTTTAATTTCACCCATAGACTATTACTGTACGATTTACCGTTCTTGAGTTATGGCCTGTTTATTAATTACTATCACCCTCATTCACAGCCACTTCTAGCCAAATATTGTACAAATGTTATTTTCTATTTTATGGTACGATGTGATCTGTTTGATTGGTATATAAACCCCGTATATTTGAAAGAAATGATTCATATTGCAGAGGCTGAGATTGGTGTCTTGGACTTAACTGGCTGGGCTAGACAGGAAGCGAGACCAATCAGGACTCTAGACTGCTCGCACTTGTTTTATGCGTCACTGGTTCGATCGGTAATTCGCTGCTCTCTGATTGGCGGTATCGTTGCGTTATCCAATATACAGGGTACACAAGTTATAACAAAATAGAAACGTATGGAACTAAAATGTCATGAACTCAAACTATTTTAGTAAGATGCTTGTTTGATGATGCTTTAAATTTTGAAAAATTCGACAAAATGTTTGATTTATAAAGTATATTGAAATATCGTTGACAATTGTAAGGGATTTTTGAAATATTTCTTGGCGTTGAGTTAATATGAGACATTAAAGAGGAAGAATGTATTTGTTAAATCTCAGCGAAAGAATTTGAAGTAAATCCAACGGATAATTTTGTTGTTTGATTATATTTTCCTTGAAAAAGCTTGGACCAGATTGCCAGACGAAACGTTGGATTTACTTCAAATTCTTTCGCTGAGATTTTACAAATACATTCTTCCTCTTTAATGAACAGAATATAAGTTGAATAAACGTTATTATTATATGATAAAATGAACTACTTGCTAAAATATTGAAAATATAATAAGTGATAAGTATGAAGTTAAGTTTATTAACTGATTAGTTAAGTTAGTCAGTTTGTTTGTTTTAGATAGCTGCCTCCGTTTTTCTGGCTTACTATTATGGATGATAAGTCATGTATATATATATATATATATATATATATATATATATATATATATATATATCATAAGTAATCACGTTTCATTTGGACCTTCTATTAAAAAGTATTCCTACTAATGCAAATAAGTAATACATTTTTAAATCTAGAATTTATCTATGATCGCTACCTTTGATTTTGCTTAGTTTAGTTCTATATATTTTGAGCATTCTATGCTTATTAATTGATCGAATTCGCTGATTTCTTTGTTTTGTAAATATTTATTTACGGTATTATCGTAGATTATTACATAATTTTTATTTTATTTTTATTCAATTAGCTTTTACAAAATTTAACTCCTGACGCTGAAGGTTTAGACTGGATATTAACTTACAGTACTTCTGTGCATGGATTTAGTTTACGATCGTTATATCGTCGATGTGCCAATAGTTTGACAGAATCTTCAAAAGATAATTTACATGGTACTATTCATACAAAAATGAAACATACTATTATACCGAATTCACCGCATGCATCAAATCAGCCATGTATACTAATCATACGAACATCAACGAATGAGGTTAGTTTTTCAACTTCCATTCATCTAATGATGGAACTTCTAGTGTGTTTTTTTTTCTGGAGAATTTCACAATATTTCTCAAGTGTCTCTCTATTGGATTATTTATTCAATGATCTATTCGTTGAGAGTGTTTTTTGGATTGATATTAAGAAAAATTCGAATATAGTTTTTTCTTTGTTTTCACCATAATTCTATTTATCATATGAGATGCTCCATCACATGATTGTTCAAAATAATCACTTATACGTGACAAACTTATTTTGTAAATCCAGTTTTTTTAGTCAATTTCAACAATCGAATCAAAATAATATTCGCAGAATGAATTGCATCGATTAAATTGTATGAGATTTTCATCAGCTGAGTACAACCTGTAAACATTAATGAGTAAACACAATTTAGAAAACAAATATTTACCTCTCTTATAAGATCTCCAACTGTTGACTTCACACTTTGTAAACAAACTCCTAAATACAAAATATTGGGAAAATAAAATATTCAAAGTTCAGTTTTGTTTGTGAGTAAACAATGATGTTTTTAAGAAAATATAGAGTACACATGGTGTGTAATATTCCAGTGCCGTAAGAAAGATTATTTTAAACAAAATGACAAATGGTTAGTAAAATGATTTTTTTATCTCTAACTAAACTCGAGTACTGAAATCTAATGCCCAGTCATTGAATACTAGAATGTGTTAAACATCTGACTCGCAATTATAACGCAACACTGAGACAAACACATGATTTTCAAGTTACCTGGGATTGAATTGGTAATTCACAATCCAATGTTGCATAGTTCCTTCGGAAAATAACATGATTATCACTCATCACTACTTAACAACCTGATTGATACATATTTAGTATTCACTTCAATGCACCAGTAAACTCTAATCTTTCTTTACTGATGAGACTAACATAACGCAGTTTGTGCGATTTTCTAGTTATTAGTAAAAATATATCTAAATACAGATCACTGAGAGAGACAATATTTTAGTGTTACATTTGTTAAGATCTACTTATGATCATCATACGATCCTAATGGAGTTAGATCTCGGTTCACTTAGGAACAATGTATGAAATGATTGTTAAGATATAGTATGTTATATTTAATTGATAGACCAAGTTAGACATCATTCATGTAACTGAAATTTTATTTATTTTACATAGATATATATTAAGCGAACAATGGTATTTTTATTCTTAATTTATCTCAACTAATAACTAATGAGCTCTTATTGGAATGATAAAAATTACTTTCATTTCAATCTGGCAAGAGAGTAATTTGAAGGTAATTTGAAGAAGAAAAAACATATTTTTCACCTTAAAACCAGTCAGTCAGTCAGCTACAACGTAGGAACAGCGACATATATGCATCGGTCCAAGTTGCTACACCTCACTAACACAACAAGATGAACACCAAATTCATAGAAGTAGTTAATTTAATGGTAGTAATACATAAAGGAAAGATATAAAGTAATTTTAATCCGACGGTTCAAGGGAAGACAAAGAGTGCATACACCTACGCCATTGTAATAGATTTTGAGCCATGTCACCAAGAGTCTCCAACCATTGGTTACGATAGTCACATGGACCCCAACCAAGTAGTCTGCATCTACCAACATGGTTCAGACTAGAAGTTAGTGACTTTCTGGATTGATGGCACGTTTTGGTTTGTCCGCCCCTAACTTTATTCCAACCATCTCCAACACTAGTCAGCACTGGACGTCGTGGTAAACGGTGTTCACGCAGTCATAACACGTGACCTAACCATCTCAGTCGATGAAGATTCACAACCTCATCAACTGATTTACCATCATTTCCTAATACCCTGTGTCTAACCTCATTATTACTTACACGGTGATCCCAACAGATGCGAGCAATATTTCTAAGGCATTTGTGGTCAAATACTAGTAACTTGCGAATATCTTCTACTCTTAATGGCCACGTTTCGCAGCCGTAAAGTAGAACAGAACGAACTACTTCGCAGTATACTCGTTCTCTCATTGATAGTCGGATATCTCGCGTTCGCCTTAGGTGGAGCAGTCACATGTGAATATTATTCTAACTATTCTAATTTGTGATATTAATATAACTTTTTATCAAAACTCCTAATTAATAGTTCTGAAACTTTTACACAATAATTGTAAAAAAACCCTACTGAATAACATACAGAAGCCAATATAACAAGTGAATAATGAACTTGAGTAGTAATGCATCAAATTCACTCTATTTCAATCACTCATATAATTTTTATAAATTATGAAAATATATGTCAGTGTCATAAAAATACTTAATACATTTATCCCAGTTTTTCTGATGAAATGTTTACACTTCAATTGACCATCTTCATGAATTTCAACACAATTTGATAAATTCGGCATCATCATAAACTATAATAGATTATAATTTTAACTATTTCACTATATTCACACTATAATTAAATGTTACCTGATTAGTTGACTATGTTTATTGACTTGTTAGATTTAGTTAGGAATAGAATTAGATCATTTTAGATTGAGAATTATTTCTTTGAAGAGTAATCCCTTCTCTGAATATGATCTGTAAAGTCTAATTGATAATTATAATGACTTGAAATTATCTTAACATAATGACTGGTCAACTATTTATCAAAAAAAAGAGTTTGGAACTATAAATTACATTTCTGTTTTGCGAGACAATTAAGTACTTTCAAATTCAAAGAAATTAGTCCCTTTGATGAATTTCGATAATGTAATAAGAAGACGATCTGGAACTCAAGACAAACCGTTAGCAGAAAATTCAAAATGACATTGTGAATGATTATAAATTTTTTTAAGTTATGAAGTATAATGAAAAGATTGTAATGTTTGTCGCTATGTTAAGCCGACACAGCTTATTCTAGCTTCTGGACAGGTCAGTTTATCCATTCTTCTTGAGTCACGTTTTGACTTTGATAATTATTCACTTTTCAATCCCGACTGTTTTTATATGAGCGTATATGTGTGTACACGTCTTATCCTATTCATCACACGTCTGTAACCTATTTTTATCTGACTATAAATATTAATTAAAGCTTGATTAAATGAAGTTGGTTCACACGCCTTCTCCACCGTGCGTCATTTGACTTCGTTCTCTTCTATTCGCTTCGTCCCTCTGTCTGTTCAAATCAATGAGTGTAAAAAATATATGTATTCGAAATCCTTTCTCATATTTGAATTATTTTAATTCCATTATTCACTAACACTAGTCAAGTCGATGATTAAATACGTATATGGGCAACATATATATTACGATAGCCATTTTTCAATAGCGATCACTAATACCGATCTCATTGGAGTCAGATCCCGGACCACTACAAAAATCATGTAATTGAAAAACGTTAAAATACATCATTCCTATCTTATGATGAAACTACAAAGTGAAATGTTGTATGTACATTAGTAGAATTAAGTTCTCAATTAATATGTTATTATTATTATTTTTGAACATGTATTTGCCTGATATTTGACCATTCTTCTGGATCATTAAAGGGGGATTTATAACTGTAGAACCTGGAATGAACTTATATTGAAAAATAATATTCTTCGTTTAATGATTTGCGTGTTTTTAATAAAAATGTAGAATGCTTTAAGCAATTTTTCTATAATGATAATTATATTTTTTATAATATTCCAATAAGTAGAAATTTGTATTTCTGACCTACCTCTACCTAATGCTTAATCTATTTAAAACTATCAAATCCAACCATGTTATTGATACTTACAAATTTTTCCATAATTTCTTTTCTAATTACTTAGATATTTGGGGCAATGCTTAATACACATCCTTATCCAAGTAATGGTCGATTCTATGGTAATGGATCATGTTTTGTATTTCGATGGATCAATACAACTGATTCAAAACAAGATCAATTCAAAGAAAATAGTAATTCAATCAATGAACAAGATTCTACATCTTTATCAGTTACTTCTAATAAATTAATGAATATACCAGTAGATGTAAACTCTGCATCAATATCATCATCGGTATTATTAGTAACAGACAATCATAACTCTGATCTAGTCTCATCTTCGTCATCATTGGATATGAGAACTGAAACTGTAACTAAGGAATTCGCGCATTTATGTTATAATGATAAAAGAGAATTTCCAGAACAGGATAAAAAACAAACATTCCAAGTAAATCAACTGATAATAATGATAATGACAGTACTAATAAAAATAGATATACTGTTCATTTCATTTGTCATAAAATATTCATCATTACTTTGTCATAAACGAAACAATACCTAATAGTCTACAGTATGGGATTGTGTAGATTGTTGACTTTTGATTGAGATCATGAATTGATTAATGCTAGACTAACATTGAAAACCTTGAGTTCTAGTGAGAAGCTGTAACTAGTAGAGCTAATCCATGTCGGGTGTGAGGCAGTTACCCACCGAAGAAAATAGAAGGTGGTCGCGCAATATCGTGGATTGGTTGAAATTAAACATTAACACCATTGGATGCCGACTCAGTGGTCTAGAAGCTAGGCGTTTGCACGCGAGACCGGAGGTCCTAGGTTCGAGTCCGATATACAAGGTCGTGGACGCGCACTGCTGAAAAGTCCCATGCTAGGATGAAACAGCCATCCAGTGTTTGAAGGTTTTCAATGCTGGTCTAACATTGGTCGATTATTAATCTCAATCAAAAATCTAATAATTTCTTTCTATTTATGCCTATTAAGTTGAACATAAGTAACTGAATATCAACAATTTCATTCGATAAAATTGATAAAGTTAATATGTTTCTAAACAGAAACTTATCCTTCATTTAATGATCGGTGCAATGATATATTTCACCACGTTCATATAAACAATTAGCTAAAGTATTATACTGTCAATGGATATCAATTTCAAAATAATCTCATTTCAGAAAGGGTTTTGTGGATACTGTAGTAATTTCAATGGTTGAAATCATGAGTCAATTGATATGAATCAACATATGCTCACTAGTGACTGGTTTCAAGAGGTATTTCCTGGAGTTCTAGTGAGAAGCAGTGACCTGTATAGTTCAACCAGGTCTGTTGTGAGATAGTAACTCACTGAAGACATTGGTGGGTGTGTAACTCAATTTCGTGGATTAACGCTGTTTGATGCCGGTTCAGTAGTCTAGTGGTTAAGCGTTTATACACAAGACTGATAGGCTCTGTGTTCGAATCTCGCAAGGCAGGATCGTGGATATGCACTGCTGAGGGGTCATGCAATAAGACGAAACGGCTGACCAGTGCTTTTAGGTTTTCCATGGTGGTCTAGATTCAATTGACTCATGATCTCAACCATTCAAATAATCTCATTTGTTGAAATATTATTATCACTTGTATTTTAAATCGTTTGTAAATCCATATTAATTTTTTTTTCTATATTTCGTTCCTACTACTTATTATTGTCATTATAATTGGTTTTTATAAACGTTACTTTAGAAATTTATATGGAGCGGTAAAAATTCCTATTTTATTAATGGTGATTATGATTCACTTACCATAGGATGTTCTCAGTAAGTGAATTTCGATTTGTATTTTGTTTTGCTTTATTTCCATTTTCTATTTTCTATCCCGATTTTTTCGTATACACATATATGTGTGTATAACTTTTCAAGAGTATCAAGCAAATAGATACATAGAAATACCAACATAACATTGGAAAGTAGAAGTACACGTGCTCTCTACGTGTGATTTAGTTAAGTTAATAAATATTATTCTTTTCATTTTGGTTTATCATTTGACCAAAGTATTTATGGACTTCGTTTAGTATACTAAACAAATTTCTTTTCTAGGTTAGAAATGTTTTTTTTGTTTAATGGTCTGTATAGTTGTTTTTTTTTTAAGATAACCAATAATCTTAGTAATAATAATGACAATAACTGTACAGATAGAATCAACAAAACATTATTTATTACAATGCTTACTAGATTTAGAAATCGGTAGGTAACCATGAGAACGAACAAAAATTTTGGATAAAGAGGAATTTTGATTGGTCAAGTTGAATATTTAATTTTATGCTACAATATTTCAAAAATTATCTTATATATGGGTTAGTTAAATTACATAGCTTCTTCTGTTATTCCTTCTTATGATAAATTGTCTTAGTAGGCATTTTAAGGAAACTTGAATATATCAACTGATATTAATCTAGTCATTGCAAGGATATATTTTTTTATCAAAAGGGGTTTTGTGGAGATTTTAGAAATTTCAATGGTTGAAATCATGAGTCAATTGAAACTAGGCCACCACGGGAAACCTGTAAGCATTGGATGGCCTTTTCGTCCTAGTATGGGACCCCTCAGCAGTGCGCTTCCGCGATCCCATCTACCCGCGACAATCAAATCCAGGACCATTCAGTCTCGCGCGCGAACGCCTAACCATTAGACCACTGATCCGGCATCCAACAGTGTTAATGTCTAACTTCAAACAATCCACGAAATTACTCCACCGTATACCATTGTCTTCAGCGAGTTGACATCTTACAACAGACCTGATTGAACTCCACTGGTCACGGCTTCTCATTAGAACTCCAGGAAATGCAGTTGAGTCCAGGCTCAGTAGTCTAATGGTTAGGCGCTCGCGCGCGAGACTGATATGTCTTGGGTTCGAATTTTGTGGGGGGCGGGATCGTGGATGCGCACTGCTGAGGGGTTCCATGCTAGGACGAAACGGCCGTCCAGTGCTTTCAGGTTTTCCATGGTAGTCTAGCTTCAATTGACTCATGATTTCAAATATGTTTATTTTCTAAATACATTCACATTATAAAAATATCGAAAAACTTAATGATTCTAAGTCAACTTATTTGGAAATAATTATCAGTTTATATTAGCAGAATGAAAGGAATCAAATAGTCTATGATTTCCAGAATAAGTTAGGATCTTGTTTACGTTTATATTCGAAGAAAAACTATGGGTGTATATCTTTTAATTAAGCTGTTAAAAGCACTAGTAAGATTAAAGCAAATTAACAAATCCATTACGACTTTGATTCAAATCATTTTTACTTATGAAGTGTACATTATTAAAAGCATGATTGATCACCATATTCACTATATCTAAACCCAAATTTTTTTAATGAAAAGCTGTATGCAGTTTATTGCTTTTCCAAGTAATCGTGTAGTATTTATTTGTTCTACCAGACTAGAAAGTAATAATTCACTACATATTTTACTTGTTTGTGTTAAATAAAATGTCGGTAAGACTATAGTTGAGGGACAACATTTGAGCGACGCTACAAGTGACCTTGAGGATATCCACCTACTTACTAGGGCTAGATGAGAGTTATGAAACAGCTTGTAGAATAAGGATAATGATTTACAGTTGATGGTTAGGGTTAAGAATTAGATTTATGGCTTCTATTACGAACTGATATCAACTAAAATGTCAAAACGCTATTTAGACAAATGGATGAATGAATTTCGCGCTGAAATCAAAAACCTTTTATCCTATTTTTGATTGGTTTGTCCATAAATTATAATGTCAAAATATCTCTTGTATTATATACAATGGTATGCGTTAATAATTTGTTAAGGTCTGACTTTTTATAATAAACATTCATTCTCTATTCTGAAGAATTTTTCAGATGAATCAACAGCCAATCATTCTTATTCCAGTAAACAAATTTAACTGTCTATGATGAATATGCACTTTTTGTACAGATTTTCTGAATATTTCCAATATGCTCACTGATTTTAGTGTTGAGAATAGTACTGAAAATGCTTATCAGTTATGCAATTGATTAATGAATGTTGAAGTCAAGTAACATAGCTTAGCAGTGACTTTGTAAAAATAAAATCACTCGGGTCTTATTTGCTAGATCATAGTTGTAAATATCATCCTTCCTTGCTTCCGTATGAGCAACTAGTTAACATTGCTAACAACATCATCCATCAGCTATATATATAAGTACACTTGCTCTTATGAAGCAGGCTACATAGGCCGCACAAAGCGAACTCTTTCCAAACGCATCTCCGAACATTATCCTGCGTGGCTTTTGAAAGGTGACTGTAAATCAATCAATAGTTCAATATTAGAACATCTTGTAAACTTCAGTCACATGACCGCGTTGACATGTCCTTTTAAATCGTCTATATAGTCAGATGATTTTGTCCGCAAGATGCGCAAACTAGTAACGTATGCACTTCTGGGTCACTAGGAATCCATCTTTTAAACCTGAGCTCTATGTGCAAAAGAGATTTGTGCAAGCCATTATTTTTCCATAGCCTTAACATTTAATTCTCTTGAACTGTAATTTGGTTTTATTATATCCTTCTAATGCTCTTAATTTTAGCTATTCGATATTATTATTATCTTCACGTTTTTAGCTGATTCTTTATCCTTTTTATTCCTTCCACTATTCAATATGCGTTTAGTTTAATCTTTAATCAAGCACTATTACAATACGTTTATATGTACTGAATGTTAGAAAGCCAGAGACAGTTAAAAAAAAATTGTACATATTTTAATAGTAACTGGATTTCTAAAGGTTCGTTCAGTTAATTTTTTGATCATATGAGTGTGACATTTTCCTGTTAATAGTAAAAACATGATAATCGTGTATGAAGAATTAGATTCCACTCAATATAATGATGGTGATATTGAGAGCGATAGCTGAAAACTTTGGGTCCTATTGGCTTGAAGTTGTGTTGTAGTGGCGTATTTGCATTCACTCATTGTTTTGCATTTAGTTTGGTTTGTTGGGATTATCTTGAACATTTTATTTCCAAGAATTTGTCTATTCACAAATCATAGTGTATATGTCTAATAACTCATACAACAGATGAAATTCTTATTGCTTCCAGGAATCTGATATTCATCTAAATAATTTCGTCTTTCGGTGCTGACATGATGCGACAACTTGAAGCAATACACATATGTGCTAAGGTATATGGTCTTGATCGACTGTTATTTTCTCTGAGAAACCAGTAGATCATGTGACTGTAAATGGAGAGTTTTATAAAAGAATGAAATATATGTGTACCATATCATAATTTTTAATAATTCTCAAATTATTATAGACTGGTGGTGTTGTACTAGAAAAGACTCGTCACTAAGATACATGAAAGCTTGAAGAAAAAATACCATATTTGTAATTTCCATTCTCTAATCCTCAGTTATCCATAAATATGTGCATGAAAAATTGAAATGAATTCTTACTAAACATATAGGTTTCCTTAAATTACCAAGCAGTTATTAATAATATATCCTAAAGTGTACGTTTTTGTCATTCGAATTCAGTATTACGAACGAGCTATTATCTTTTTAATAATTGGATTCATCAATCGATCTAAGTTAGACCACTATTAAAAATCTAAAAGCACTGAAAGGCTATTTCGGTCTAGTATGAAGCTTTTCAACAGTACTTACTAACAATTCCGTATACATGACTCCAACCTAGAACCCTCGGTTTCACGTTCAAACTCTTAACCTCTAGACCATGGAACTGGCATCCAATATTTTTTTCCTACAGTTTTTTCAACTTATTTCTTACTTTCAACATTGTTCTTTTTTCATTGTGATCATTTCATTATTTTCTTTTCTACATACTTTTTCATGATTTTATTTTATTTCAGAGGTCATTCAGCAATTCAACTTGATGATAATTTATTACATGGACATAGTGTCAATTGTGAAACATTTGATAGTCCACAATTAACTTTATTATCACCAGATTTTGTGATTACCACACTTGAAATATGGTCATTTATTTAAAAAGAAATTTTTTTATTTTTTGGGGGGGGAGGGAAGAGAGGGTTGAATTTATTTTATATTGTGAACTAATAATTCCATGTCAACCATACAAAAAAAGATAAAAAAATAAACAAAATCAATATAGATGTAATACACATTTTATTCAATATTTTGTTGTTGTTTGTCGCTTTTTCTTTGTTTTATTTTTTGTTGTTGTCGTTGTTCTTATGGCCTATTTATTTAATGAATTATTATTATTATTATTACTATTAATATCAGTACAATTTCTAAAGTCGTAAAAACTGATTCCAACTTTCTCGTTTCATTATAAATTACACTATATATATATATATATATATATATATATATATATATATATATATATATATATATATATATAACTATTCTCTTCTTGTGCAATCCTTTTGTATGATTACCATATTCTATTCTCCATTCTTAAAAAAAGGTTCAGTTATGTGTATTTTAAGTTTAATTGTGATACCAATGAATTTTTTACAACAACAACAAACAATAGATTTAATAAATGATCCTATTTATCCAGAACATTCTATTCATAGTTCTTTTACCAAGACGTTTTGAGAGAAACAAAAACAAAAAGAACACAATGTAAAACGTTCTATTTATCAACAAACTTGATTATTATTTGTTTAAAATATTGGATCTGTTCCAATAGATGATTTTATTTTATTTTTGTTTACTACTATCTAATGACAATTAAGTAGTCATAAGTTTCTTTTTTTTTTTCAGATAATTATTTCATGTCACAATTACATATTTTTTTATAATATTCGATTTATTTCATTGTTACTATGTAATTATTTTGTTTAATTCTGTTGAAAGTATGAATACGAATACATTCTATCTATTCTTAGTAATCATATACATATATATACATACTTATATAGAAATGCTTATAGATACATATTCATTTATAGAGTGTAAAAAGAAAAAGACAATTTGTGATTTACCTGTCATTATATTATACTATTCGAACAACAACAACAACAAAGCTGATCATGCACACAGTTTCTTTTTACAATTCAATTGGTTAATTCATTTCTTCAATGTTATATTATTTCCATATTAATAGTAATAATAATGATGGATATCAAATTGTTATTTGAGCACTGAATTCGGAAAGATTCTCTAAACAGTAAACAAACCATTGGAAACAAGAACCAGTGTTATGAATTATTTATCTATTTGATGTCATTATTTAATTGATTTGATAATATTAATAATCTATGTAGTAATGATAATATAAACAAGCATTTAAAATGAGGTTTTCTGATTATTATTATTGTTGTTAGTTTGCAAAATTCTAAAGTCATTCATAGAAATCTTATTCATAAACCTGTTGGTTTTAATCGGATTAGTTAATATCATCTATACTATCTTGCTTAGTTGAGTTTCACACGATAAATGGTTGAGGACCTTCCATGACATAATTTAATTTAGGTTGGCTTAATACAAATATATCCATTCTTTATTTTCTATGTTAAGTCATGTACTTTAATTTATTTGTCACATTGTTTTATGAACTAACATTTGTATATCTAGTCTTTTGATCATTGTTAGAACCAACAATTCATTTGTTATTCACTTTTTAAATTGCATATTTCTGTATTGATATTGTGTGTGGCAAACTGGTCTTATGATGCATATTTGTACAATGATTTGTTTAAAGGTATGTATGTTGCATGTGGAACCATTTTAGAAATAATAAATGATTATTAACTAGACTGTTTATTAATCTAGATTGTCATTATTGTCAGTGATTGACAAAAATTACGGAAAGAACCGATCTTATTATTAAGACTATATTATTTTTAACATTCTATTTTGTATAGCAAAAGTAAAAGAGATAGCATACTGATATATTATCATTAGAATTATTGAAAACTAAATAATTGCTACACCTTATGATAAAACAATTAATGTTTATCAGCTAATGATGAAATAGAAACGAGTTTTTAGTGAGGTTGCGGCCTGTGATTTAAAGGGTTTAATCGCACTATATTAATTGCGAATTTTGTGTTAAATGTAAATGTTATCCAGAACGCCAGTGAAAGCTTCACAATTAAACGACCCAACTTAGAGAATACGTGACCATTAAACGTCTCTAACTGAGCTACGAACCTCTTTCATCAAACACAGTAGTCAAGTTGGCTAGATTTTCACAAAAATTTGTATCAAATAAAAATATTGTCGGACTGTCGAACAGTTATCAGAATTATTTTTAAGTATATTTGTAGTACCTTAAGTTGTCTGGAGAGTTACCTATTTCATAAAACTGTACACTGCAGTTTTGAATATAAAAATCCTAAAGATAATGTGGAAGCTATTTTGAATAAAATACATATATATATGGAAATGAAGGCACATTGTCTTTGACAAGTTTATGTTCACCCTTAAATCCAATTACAAACACAGAGTTTCTTCCTTCTAAACACGAGAACTAATGTCTTGACTGCTAAAACCTCTTAACTGTTCAACGCGCGTTATATAACTATTATTAACAGATTTTTTATCGTGCAGTAGAAACGGCAATATTAACTATAAGTAAATCAAAATCCTGATCTTCAATTAATTTATGCGGTTTGAAGGAAAAAGAGTCTTCCAATAATTTTCTTCCCTTTAACATTAGTTTCAATAGTGGAATGAATATATATATATGAAAATGAGAAGCGTAGGAAGATGTTTTTCTTAGAAGTAGATATAGTCATTGAATAAATAATTTTAACCAGGAGAATATGTAGATTGACTAATAGAGTTAGAAAATCTTTTAGTTATTTTTAAGTGAAGAAAAGGACATGATGATTGACTTCAAGATAGAAAGTGTAGTTGACAGAATGTCTAATCCAATAGAAAATTCATATAAGTCAACTTGTATCTATCAGGATAACTTTTTCGTAAACTCTAACTAATATATAAGTTAATAATAGTAATTACAAAAAACAAAAGGATAATATTTCATCGCTGAATGGTTGCATAACACCAAATCATTAGCATTATATGTAAAAATTATATTTGAAATAATCTCAGCCATTGAAATCTACATAATAATTCCAACGTTTCGTCCAGCTAACTGATCTGGACTTCTTCAAGGTAATAATCATAATCATCAAAGAAATATATAACCCTTTAACAATCAATCAGAATAAATCTATACTGTGCTAATCCAATCATATTTGGATATTGATTTTAGTAAATAGGAAAACATGAGTTAGTTAAATGCAAATAAATGACAGGAGCGAATTGTCTGTGTGTGTATATATGTATGTGCAAAATTGAGTTAATAATGAATGATATTCGGTGTTAATATGTTTAAAATGAAGAAAAAATAAAAGTGCAATTTGAAGGCTGAAAAATGTAAAGTTGAGGGAACACAAATTGTGTTCGAAAACTGTTCCCAAATCATCGGTTGACTTAAAGAAACTTGAGAATAGGTCTTCGTTAGAGATACATAGGTTAAAGACAGGACAGAACATTAATTTTGAAGGGACCAAAACACTTCAGAAACGTTTTAATACTCATAAAGAAAGATTGGCCGCAGAAGCCTTGTATATATGGGCGAACAAGAACAGCCTGAACCGAAAGGATAGTATTCAACTGGCAAATATTCGTTGACAAGTAATTGGACCCTTTGTTTATTCACCGTGTTTTTTTTCACATGCATCGTTATTTTGACTTGAAATAATGTGAGTTATTTTCAGCAATACAATTTTGTATTTCATGATTCTCATTTTACATGTGCGTCAACAGAAACACTTTTTTTAACGTTCAACACGCACTCAAATCTTTCCTTCATTTAAAACATATTAACACCGAATATCATTCATTATTAACTCAATTTTGCACATACATATATACACACACAGACAATTCGCTCCTGTCATTTATTTGCATTTAACTAAGTCATGTTTTCCTATTTACTAAAATCAATATCCAAATATGATTGGATTAGCACAGTATAGATTTATTCTGATTGATTGTTAAAGGGTTATATATTTCTTTGATGATTTTGATTATTACCTTGAAGAAGTCCAGATCAGTTAGCTGAACGAAACGTTGGAATTATTATGTAGATTTCGATCGCTGAGATTATTTCAAATATAATTTCCACATATAATGATTTTCTCTATACTCGGCGCCCAATTTCTGTAAAACTGTTCATTCTAATCTTGACGAATATTCATATAAATCAAATCATCATGTTTTCGATTGAGATCATGAACCGACTGATGTCAGATTACATTTGGAAACCTGAAAGCACTGGACGGCCGTTTCGTCCCGTTGTGAGACTCCTCAGCAGTGCGCATCCACGATCCGGCTCGCGGGATATAACATATAACAGTCTGAAGATGTATTTAAGTCAATCACATATATATTTTTAAAAAATTCTGATTTTATGAATGGTTATTTTTGTCAAACAGCAAATTCGATAATTATTTAGAAAAAACATTTCTACTATACTTGATCATTACCATATCAAAATCAATCCGAATAGGTGCGTATATTTTGTTCTAATACTAGTAGTTACCAAACTTTCTTTTTAACATTTATTTCTCTGAATTTATTTTGGATGAATAATAAGCACATGAAGTACCGTGATAATAATGATCGGTAATTCCTCAAAAATGTTGTTCTTAAATAAAAAGAATCGGGAAAATATTTCGATCGAACAGTAATCTTGCGAAGCTTCCAAAAGAATTTTAAAAAGTAACAAAGTGTTCCTATTATCTTATTTGAACAACTGTCGAATCTTTTGCTTGATTTCCAGAAGCTACTAGAATCTTAAACTCAAATGTAATCATACAAATTTGTTTGTTATTTTCATAAATAAAATTGAAGCTTCTTCTATAATTTCTGCCATCAATTCACGGGTAGATAGATTTTTCTATAAATGTACCCGTAACAACTACTACCAAAGTAGACGTAACTTATAAAAACACCATCCTCGTTAGCCAGAACTACTCACAATGTTTAAAATCACAAGA